TTGTTATGTGGGCATTGGGCAACCAAAAGTGGGTTTAGAGTTCCATGTTGTGTCCGAAATCTAGGTAGGTTAAGCAACCAACTTTCTTCATACCCAAACACCCCTTCTTAGCCATGTCTAGATGGACTTGGTTACCCAGGGGCCAGGATTCAATTTTCCAATCTCAAACCTCCTAACGGTCCACTACCTGGTTTCCACTTCCAATCTCCTTATAATTCAAAATTTATAGCCGTTTTTCAGCCATGTTACCATAAAAAAAACCACGCTTTCGTAGTCGTTTCAGAAGGCCACATTTTCAGTCTCTTTTCACTATATAAATCCTTGACTATTCTCTCATTTACTTATTTTCTTGACTGCTCATTCAACTCTTTCTCGCCCCAGGCGTCTTTGTATACGTCCTTGGCATCCTTCAATCAATCACTTTTCTTTCACTAACAAAAATGAGAGTGCGTTTCGTCAGGCTGGTGTCCAAGTCGGTAATGCTTGTTGGGAACTCTCCTGCTTTGAACTTGGAATTCAGGTAACTCTCTCTACCATATTTTCAACATAAATTCAACGTTTTCCTCTAATTCTTTATTGGGTATTAACCTTTTTTTTATTTTCTTATTTCTGTTTGTGGGTGCAGCCTGATGGACAAATGCCTAGTGACAAAACAGTTGGAGGCGGAGATGATGCTTTCAACACATTTTTCAGTGAAGCCGGAGCTAGAAAACATGTCCCTCGTGCTCTGTTCTAGGATCTGAAACCAACTGTTAGATGAAGTTAGGACGGGGGCTAATCGCCAATTGTTCCACCTTCAACAGCTCGTTAGTGGCGAACAATCTTACAAGATAAAAAAATTAAAAAATTCTCACCAAATGTAGAGATACAAATACTTACGAGTGAAAAATTTTAAACTTCGGTTTTCATTTTCCAAATTAAAAAATAATAAATTATGATTACACTGATAAAATTTTAATTCAATTGGATCATGAATTATTATTAATCTGATTTTTTAATCGGAATTGTACGAAATCCTTCTTCTTTCTTTTTTATTTCTTTTTTCATGCCACCTCTCTTTTAGCCAACTTTTAATATGCCAACAGCCTCTCTTTAAATATACAGGAGTTTTAAAAAACCTTAAAAGATTGGTGAAAGAATTAAAAAGATTTTATGTGTGGCTTTGATTTTAAGCGATCTCCATGTGGAGGAAATCAAAGTCGAACAAATCTCTCATTTTTGAATTATATGGAGAGAATTTCCATCTCGACAATTGAAGGACAAAGTTCAAATTTCTCATGTGATAGTGTCTTTGTTAACATATCATAGCCATTGTGATCAATATAAATCTTTACAAGTTTAAACAAGTTATCATTAAGAGTATTTCTTAATTAATAACTCATATCAACATGTTTTGATTTTTAATAAAAGGTAAAATTCTTATTAAAGTAAAATGTTCTTTGATTGTCACAAAAAATCACATAGTGTTGCTTTTTGAAACTGAGCTCTTATATGAACCTCTTCATCCATGATAACTCCTTATATGCTTCATAGGCTACAACATACTCGGCCTATATTGTAAAAAGTACAATACATTTTTTTAGTCTCAATTACCATGACATAGCCCTATTTGAGTGTATTATCAAATAACTTGGGGTAGACTTTCAAGAATTCACATCTCTTGTCATATCTAAATTATGTAGTCAACTAGCATTGATTTTTCACTTCTAAAATTGAATCTCATAACCCACTTAATTGCATTTCAATGTTTTCATCCTAATTTTAACAAAAAGCGACTATCAACACCAATTGCATGGGTTATATCTAACCTAGTCACACTATTACTTACATAAAATTTCCTACTACTAAAGTATATGAAATTTTTTCCATGTCTTCCTTCTCTTTAATTGTAGAAGGGCTCTAATATATTGATAAATATTAAGAGAGAAGATTGAAGATTGTCGTTCAATTGTCAAGATAGCGATTCCTTTTACATAATAAAAAAGGGAGAGATTTATTGGAGTTGGTTCCTCCATGTTGAAGTGACCTAAAACCAAAGCCGATACACATAAGGACTTTTTAGTCTTGTCAACAATCTTTAAGAGTTTTTTAAAACTCATGTGTATTTAAAGAGAGGTTGTTAACGGATTAAAAGTTAGCTAGAATAGAGAAGGCAGGAAAAAAAAAGAATAAAAAGAGGATTTGTGTACTTCAAGACACAACTCTACTTAAGAATATTATCAAATAATTTAAATCTAAAGTAGACTTTCAAAAATTCAAATCTCCTACCATACCTAAATTATGTAGTCAACTAGCATTGATTTTTCACTTCTAAAAGTGAATCTCATTATCCAATTGATTGAATTCCAATGTTTTTTTCTTAAATTTGACAAAAAACGATTATTAACACAACTGCATAAGTTATATCTGGCCTAGCACATACTATTGTGTACATCAAATTTATTATTGTTAAAGCATATAAAATTCATTCCATGTCTTCGTTCTCTTTAATTTTAAAAGGCTCTAATATGCTGACAAATATCAAAAGAGAAGCTTGAATTTTGTCGTTTGATTGTCAGGATGATGATTCTTTCCACATAGTTGAAAGGGAAGATTATTGGGCTTGGTTCCTTCACGTTGAGGTGACCTAAACCTAAAGCCTAAAGTCTATACACATAAGGACTTTTTAGTTCTGTCACTAAAATTTAAGAGTTTTTTAAAACTCATGTGTAAAGAGAGGCTGTGACAGATTAAAAGTTGGCTACAATGGAGAAGGCAGGAAAGAAAAGAAACAAAAATGAAAAGAGTGAAAAAAAAAAAAAAAAAGAAGATTTGTGTAGTTCTGATCAAAAAGTTAGAATTAAAGGTAAATTCGTGATTCTAATTAAGTTAAAATTTTATTAGTATATTCACAACTCATTATATTTTAGTATGAACGGTGAGACTGGGTTTAAAGTTTCTCTTATAAATTTCATGGATATTTGTTAATCTTTAAATAATTAAATTTGATAAGATTTCTACAATTTTTTCTTTCTTGTTTTTTTTTTTTTTTCTTTCCTGCCTCCTCTCCTTCGACCTGCCTCTCTTAAAATGCACGAGAATTTAAAAAAAACCTTGAAAGAATGATCAAAGAAATAAAAACTCCTTATAAATGAGTTTTGGTTTTACGCCACCTCCATGAAACCAAGCCCAACATTTCTTCATTTGCACCAGTTATTTCTGCTGAAAAGGCCTACCGTGAGCAACTATCAGTAGCAGAAATCACTAACAGTGCTTTTGAACCATCCTCCACTATGGCCAAATGCGATCCGCGCAATAGGAAATACATGGACTGCTGCTTGATGTACAGAGGTGATGTGGTGCCAAAGGATGTGAATGCAGCAGTGGCAACAATCAAGACTAAGAGGACTGTCCTGTTCGTTGATTGGTGCCCAACTGGGTTCAAGTGTGGTATCAACTACCAGCCTCCAACAGTGGTGCCTGGAGATGATTTGTCCAAGGTTCAAAGGGCAGTTCGTATGATTTCAAACTCTACAGTATTGCTGCAGTGTTCTCAAGGATTGATCACAAGTTTGATCCGATGTATGCCGAGTGAGCATTTGTGTATTGGAATGTTGGTGAGGGTATGGAGGAAGGTGAGTTGGTGCAGAATCCGTGGAAAGGGATGAAGATGAAGGCGATAAGTACTAGGCTAGATTAGCGTGGGAAGAGGGAAAGAGTTGTTCTGCCAATGGGCTCATTGGTCAGCTAATGAAACTTTTTGTATTCTCTCTGGTAGTATCCGAAAAACAAGTTTTAATTAATCTTTCCTTTTATGTTTGCTCAAGTGAAGCTGGGATTTAAGAATTTAATTGTGTTACTTAAATACACTGCAAGTTCCTTGTTGTACTGATTCACAGGCACTGAAAAGTGGTAGCAAATTGAGGAAAGAAATAGGCTTTGTCAAAAAAATGATCAGGAGAATTGAGAAAAGAGAATGATGAATCTCATGGTAGACAAAATGATCAGATTTCAAGCTTCAGTTTTACCACTCCTAGTCACTTCTTGTCTCAGAAACTACATTCTTCCCAACAATCTGATCAATCTCAAGCAAGTACTTAATAAAGTAGTAACTAAATTCAACATTTTTTTTAATGGAACCACATTTAACATTAAAAAGAAAAATAAATAAATAAATGCATTCAGCGCACTGGATTTGAATTGACTTTACTTTGCATTATTGTTTGGAATAAAAATCCTTTAACAAGATTGTATGTCATGCTATGACAGACATTACCAGATTAATATATGGACACGCAACCATATTTACCTATAAATTTAAAACTTATCAAGGTATCCATCCCCCCCCCCCCCCTCTTCAATTATTCCATACCCACTTCTAAAATACTTTTGAACCCAACATCTGGCTCAACTCATAATTTTCAATGAGTATTTTGTTTTTTATATATTGACAATATAATTTTTTAATTTTATAAGCAAAATTAAAAAATTATCATCCATCTTATTTTTTATTTTTTTATTATATCTTAGGAGATAAATATTATCCTACTAATCCTGACAGTAAAAAAAAAAAACTTCCCTATCAGCAAATGTGATAATTTCTAGTCATGTATTACCTTCTAAGGTTTCTTATGGTTGGAAATTATTTTCTAAGTTTCTACAACTTATCCTTAATTACCGACCAAGAACCTATTAATTATTTCAAATAAAGCCTATCAATAGCTTCTTGACCTTAATAGAATGTAGGTCAAGTTACATTCCATTAGTTATGGAGAATGGATTATATTGTATTATTGCAGAAAACTTGATCAATTTCCATCATTTGGTGAATTGCATAGGCATGTTAATAACGTTCTTGAGTCAAAGGCAAACAAACAACCTCTAAAAAGCCCCAATAATTTAAGAGACAAACTGGTCCAGCAGATTTTGGACAAATGGGCCCCAACCCATGTCAACAGATATCTTGGTTGATATGCTTCCCACCAAATATAGCCAACCTTCAACCTCCATACAGCATCTATAAAGCCCTTCATATTTCAATTGTCATTACACCACTGAAAAATCTAAACTAAAGACAAACTCTTCTCCTCCTCCCTCTTACAGCAATGTCTAGCAAAAGATCAAGTTCCAGAAGCAATGAAAATGAAGATTTTAGCCTCAAACTTCGTGAGTTGTTAACAACTAACAAGAAGAAGAAAAGAAATGCAACAAAGGTAAGAATGAAAAACTCATGCACTTGGCTTCCCCCATATCTGCTTAACTAGTCACTTAGCATCTAAGCCTATGTTACTTTTTTTTAAAAAGTTTTTTCATATATTTGAGTATTGGAGCTCCTATATCTGTCGGATACGTGTCCAATACGAGTACTTCAAGAAAAATAAAGAGTTCTAGCAACATAACCATAAACACAACACTAAATGCTATGGCTTTGTTTATAATCACTACTCAACCTTGCCTCTATGGTTATTCTTATTGCAGCTTCTGGATGAAACATGCAGTCATATTAAGAGGCTTAATGAAGAGGTTGATGATTTAAGCAATCGAATATCAGAGTTACTGGCTTCTCCAGACATCGTTAGTAGCATTAATGCAAACATCCTTGGACAATTTCTACAACAATAATCACTGCAACGTTTGTTCTTTTTCTAAACTTATATATGCTCCAACTCATTGTAAGATATATATTTATATAAACATTTCAGTCTCTTTCTTTGGTTTGTTCCTTCTTGTTGCCAACCAATGGAACAAAGCAAAGGGCTTATAATTCATATGTTCTTCTATTTTGGGTCTTTTTTTTTTTGCCCTATGTTTAATCTTCAATTCTGATACACTATACAGATACAGTGTTTGTTGGTTGATAAGTTTGCTTCAAAGAATAATTATTTTCTTGATTTTAGTGAGAGAATTGCCCTTCAATAATTAAGGACTAATAAATTCAATCTTGGCTTATTCTGACTTTTATGCTAATTCATACAAAATCAGGTCATTTTCCATGAAGATAGCAAAGGTCTTTTCAATATTGTTTTCAAAGTTCAAGCAAAGACAGCATTATTATCTTATTTTTTCACTAACTTCTTCTTTGGATTACATATTATTACACATTATTACACTTATGGAAAAATATTGGACAAGGCAAAATCTTTAATAATTAGGATTACTACTAATCCCGAGGTGAAATTACTTACAAATTAAGATTAGCAGCAATATAATAATGAGAAATTCATATAATATATGGGCCAATAGAGCCCAAGATAAGAGAAGGTTACTTTGGGTTGAGCCCATATTAGTGAATTGAAAATTGCCCCAAACCCAACAGTGACCAACTAATATTTTGTTTAAAAAAAAATAATGCAAGATGAATGAGTTAGAAATTTATGAATTATTATCTAATACACAAACTAATTTAAAGTGTTGATATATGTTGGGAGTATTTAGAAAAAATAATTATTTAATTATTTAATGAACATGTAATAATCATATAAATCCGTACGTGAAATTAAAAAAAATTATTATTGACATACAAAATAATAATTCAAAAAAAAATTATATTTGAAACTATTAGAATTTAAATAATGATTACTGTAATTAAAAGTTCAACACTTTAATACTAGACTACGATTAATAATTCAAAAAATATTAGTGCTCACATAAACTTAAAATTTTCAAGCAATAGCTAAAACTAATTTTTCAATAATTTTGGATAAAACTTTATCCAACTTATTCAAAAATTTTGGGATAATTTGGATTGCATGATTAGGTTATTTTATTAAGATAAGAACAAGAATTTAGAATTTATTTACAATGAAAACAAGAAAAAAAAAAGAAAATATTACTTACTGCACTTTTTTTTTTTGTTGAGTTGTAGAATGATTCCATTGTACATTGATACTTCATCTGAAGATTTCTCTCTCTAATTAAACCCTAATCGAGAAATCATGAAAACTAAAAGCTAGCTACTCAATTCGTATGATCTTCAAGCTTTTCCACGCTAAACTAAAAACTGCAACTCTTCCCTTATGCTAGGCTAGCTGTTTCTTCTCTAAAAAATCCCTGCCATGATTTAAAATTAATAAAAAAAAATCAAAATCAGTTTGGTGGGAATCTAATTACAATTTTAAAAGAAAAAATGTCAGCGTCCAAACAGGTCAAGAAAGAGAAAAAGAAAACGAACCTTGATTGATTGATTGAGGTGATCGATTTAGGTAGCTTCTGTGCAAGGTCTTTTGACATTATTGTTCTTGCCGCTGAGAGGCGAGCGAGGCAAGATCGGCCTCGAAACAAGAACCACGTTAACACGACGTCGTCTTTTTTCATGAAAACGTGTACCACCAACGCCTCCTTCACAGACGATGTCGTTCTTATTCTCTTTATCGCCGCCGACGAAATCTTCTCCAAGATGCGACTCTTCCTCTCTTATTCTCAATACCTGATTATGAATTCTCTCTACTTTCTTCTTCATCTGCGCCACCACCGACCTCGGCGACTCCACCTCCGCCTCTTCCGTTGACGACTCTCCACTCTCCATCTCTATAACCAGCACCTCCTTCTTCGCCTCCATCGAAACCGTATCGTCAGCAGCGATTCTTTGATTTAATTTTTATTTCAAGATGAAATTTTTAGAGTGGCGGGGGAATTTATAGGAGCGAAAGAAGGGGATCAAACGGTGAGTTTCGGTGGGTATGGCAATTTCTGGTGGTATGACACGTGGTGGTAGAGTAAGAGAAAGGGCACTGAAAAGATATGTGGTGACTGGTGACAGAGACCAGTCCCAAAGTTCAAAAACCGTTGCCTTCGGTCTCTAATAATTCGCCACGTCACCTAATGATGCCACGTCATAAGGATTAAGATCTGAAGATTTTTTCCTTTCTGCAAAATAAATAAATTCGGTTTAATTGGAAAGAATTAGTGTGGAAGAAAATGAGCGGGGGATTAGTTAATTTCAAATCCTACTTAGCATGCATGATAGTGTAGAATTATCGGGTGGAACACGTGGCAGTGATTAAGAAGGGTGGGATTAGGAGGGAGGTTAATCAGGGGGAACAAGTGGCAAGAAAATAGAATTTTTAATGTTGATGTTGAGCTTATTTTATGGTTTTTGATGTTCAATTAAAGTGAGCAATTGCATTTGGTGTTATGGTGCCATGCCAAAATTATTGTATAAATGAATTAAAAATTTTAATTTAATTAATTTATATAATTATTTTTAAAAAAATAATATTTAATAATTCAAAAGTAAATCTCAACACTTATATCAAGTGACCATCATTTTTTTTATCATAAAACTTACTTATTAGGTTATATGCAACGATCACATTTATATACTCAAAGATAATTTAAATCATTTATGTTCAAAAATTTTTATTTCTTATTCAATATTAGATTAATATATCATGCTTATTTGTTTTGAATGTTTGACATGACATTTATACTTTTTACTATTAAAAATTTTCATCTAATTAAAATTTAATTTAGTATTATTGTCGAAAATAGTTTTCAAAAGTTACTTTAGTTTGACCTCAATGCTAAACAATAAAAAAAATAAAAAATATGACTTTTCAATTTAAAAGCTTGATTTTATTATCTTATATTTTTAATATTTTGTAGTGAAATTAGAATAAAAATATTATATTATCTTATATTATTAATATTTTATTTTTTTATATATTTTTTAAGACATTTCAATTACTTACAACTTTTTTTTTTAATAATGCTAAACATTTAAAATTTTTAACGATATTTTTTTATTACATTTTTTAAATGCATTTTTTTCAGTTCAAACTTTTTTCAACGGCAACAATAATATTAAACTAACTCTAAAAATTATCATACGACCGCATCTTGACGGGGTTAGGATAATCGATCAACCTGATTTTTTTTCTTCAACCAAAAAAAAAAAAAAAAGAAAGAACTAGGACTTGTGGAAAATCCCATAATCAGATTGAGCCGTTATGGCATCACAGTACATCACATCTTCAATGTTAGCGAGACAGAGAGTTTAATATTTGAGTGGCTAATGGTGCCACTAAGTAGCTCGTGAGCTAGGCACCAAAATGGCAATATAGAATACTCTTCTCTGCTTGGAATCGTTTTAGTTAAACTACAAGGCAAACAAAGATCTTTACTGCTGGGCATATTATCACGATGAGAGCACTCAAATTTGGTAATGATATGACAATGAATTCTTGATTGATCCTGTGACAAATAAGGCCACAGATTGTAACTTGATTAACATTTGGGGTAAAATAGATGACATCATCCTTCAAAATGGTGGAGCTGGCTGTTATAAATGATCTAAATTAAAATGTTTTAATCTTGAAACAACAAAATTACAGAATTAACTTCCAATCCTGGAAAGAACTGAATGCTGAATGCAAAACATATAACAAGATCCACTACAATGAAGGTCTGGAAACAAAACTCAAACCATGTCCATTAATGGAGGAGAAGGCAAGTTCCAAACAGAGGCCTTTTAAGCTTCCTAGTGGTGGTAATAGCCTAAGGTTTATTCGTCTTCCTCTTCATCACCATCTCCACCAGCAGCCTTCTTGGCAGCTGCTCTCTGGTTCTTTCTCTTCACTCTTCCAGGGCGGCCACCTCCAAATGGACTTGTGAGAGAGAAGTCAATGTGTTTTTGGGAGTCCATCCTCACCATGAAGGATGGGATGTTGACCACCTGCCTTCCAACCCTATCCAGGAAGGAGCACACATTAGGACAGACCATCTATAATATCTTTCAAACAATCAAAGCATGTATTACAATCATATAGGCTACATAAGTGAAACTGCTCAAACAAGAAATCACCTATAGGAATATGCAAAGCACAAGGCAAACATATCACAACTTGCAAAACAGAAACCAAATTGGCACACTAGCAATAAGCTAAGGGATTTGTCAAAAAACTACTTGCAGAAGTAAAATCACATAAGTTCTTCATGCAAACACACAGCTCATCCAAAAATAATAATAATAATAATAATAAATAAGTGGTGTTTGAGCCAACGGAACTTCATAAGATGTGGAAAATTCTAACAGAAATCCTCTACCAATAAACGGTTACGATTTACAAACACATCACAGAAGATGGCCACGACACATTTAAAATCAACAATGATGGAATAAAACAATAACATTATATAATTAAAAGATACAGCATGTGAAGTAGAAGGTTATTGCTGCATCTTCTAGGAACAACCTATATATGAAAACATAAACACAGTAAAAATAATCATCCACCCACTCTATAGCAAGAAAAATTAATCTTTACCTGATATGCCTTTGTCTAATCAACACGCGAGCATGGTGAATGGACTTTGCCATACCAGACTTGAACACAAGTGTTTGCAAGCGGCGCTCAAGGAAGTTTTCAACAGTCAAAGCCAAGACATAATCAAGCTTGTTCTGGCTCTCATCCAAAAGTCCATACCTATTCATCCTACGAAGAAGTGCCTCACCTTCAAAGATACGGCGAGGGTTCTTCTCATCAAGAGTGAGAAGGTCCCTAGCAGCATTTCTGATACGGCTCAAAGCATATTGAACCCTCCACAACTCCCTCTTACATCTGAGCCCATATTCTCCTACGAGCTTCAACTCAGCATCCAAACGTTCCTTCTCGTATGGACGCCTTGGCTTCTTAAAGGTCTTCCCATCTACAACCACACATCAATTTCACCAATAAATAATAATAATACTCTGATTCCACTACTTGGGAAGTCAGAAACAAATTACTTAACGTCAAATGAGCCTAAAACAATTATACAGCTTATTGGTTTTTGACTTTTGAGCCAAATCCACAAAAACAGCACAACCCATGAAGCTAAGTTTCAAAGGCTACCATCAACTGATCAACCAATTATATTATTGTTTTGATAAAAATGAGCTATAAAACAGAAAGCAACACTTTCCCACTCATAAATCCCACCCCCACCATTCCCAGGATTCAAACCCTAGACGTCAAAGTTGGAATCTTTCTGACTGTTAAGTCAATTGTACTATAATCTTCTCTTAATTTAACAAACCGTGCTGAAATTAAGTAAATCAACAGGTAACAAAGAGATCAAAACCGCTAATAATAACCAAAAATACAACAAAATTCAAGCTAAAGACCACTTCTAACATTCTAATCCAGCTACATTATTAACTAAAAATGAGAATAAAAGTATTAAAATAGCTAAATACAAATTCCCATTTCTACGAACCCAGAAATAATAAAAATGGAAGAACAAAAAAAGGGAAAATAAAAACTTTCACAGTATGATACAAACTTAGCAGAAACTACAGATTAGATTAAAAAGAAGAAAAAGTGAAAGAGATGGGAAAGTGGGAAAAGAGAAAATAAGGTTAACTTACAGTTACGATAGAAACTAACGTGAACCATGGCGGCGTCGGCTTCTCGTCAGAGGCGAGAAAGAGAGAAAAGCGAATAAGCCGAAGTAGAGAAGAGATAGAAGGCGAAGCGTGATGTTTTATATAGGGAAACCGTAAACCCTAATGCTTCACCTTCCTTTTTAGGGCTTTTCATGGGCTGTTTTTTTATGAAAGGTTGTTGATTAAGGCCTCTCGGGTTTGTCTTGGCTCTTTAAATTTTGGGCCTACTAGATTTAAACTCAAACATATTTTTTTTTTTTTTTTTAAAGAAGACACTAAGTTAAAGTTAAAGTTTTTTTTTTTTTTAATTAAAAAATAAATTCTCTAAGAAATAAAAGATAAATCCAAAAATAATGATGAATCTCACGTTTATAAATTTACAAGTAAATCGGAATTTAATTCCATTAATTAATGTAATAACTCCAAAAAAATATATCTAAAAATTTAAATTTGAAAATTCAAATTCTAATGCTTATAATCTCTTTTTTATTTTATTTTTAAATTAGGTCTTCTTTGTATAAAAAAAAATTCATGAGTATACATCTTCTTTCTTTTGAAAAAAATGATGAGTGTAAATAAAATATTAACTTTAAAATAAGCGGATTAAGGTCAAATTTATTACAATATAATGGGTTGAATTTTAGCATTGTACTTTCAGTTTTATTGAATTTTATTACTATAAATATTGGATAAAACCAATGTAATTATGTTTTATCCAAAAGTCAAGGAAATAGAAAGTAAATGGTAAAATTCAATAAAACAAGAATTAATAGCAAAATTTAATATTGAAACATAATATAATTAGAAAATTTACCTTATTTCCCTTAAAATAACATGTAAAAAAAAAGAAAAGAGCATACTAATCCTGGAATACTAGTAAATTTCTCTTTCCATCCTACAATGTTTTCATGAGTTTTGATTCAAATCTTCAATTTGATAGTTACCCAGTTCTAACAAAAATTTACTAATTTTGGGTCTTTTAAATTGCAAATTTCATTGATGGAGTTAGGAATTATGAAGAAAGTTCATTCTTAAAAATTCAAGTTGAACTGAATATGTATCTAATTATGATCTTTTTGCTGGATGAATATTCACCGGTGATTCATCAACCAACCTGAATAAGATCTTTCTGCTTTCTCATGAGCTAATGTTGCAGCTAGTTTATCAGCTTCTGTTCTTTTACCAGCCCGAGCCAGCATCATGAAATCACAATAACTACCATCTGAAACAACCTTTTTAATTTCTGATTCAGGACCCTTTTTGATATCTATAAAAGGCTTGACGTCTGCTACAGACAATGAACCCGGAAATTGCTCGTTGTGCAAGATGTCAGCTGAGTTTATTTCCATCTCCACATCGACAAGGAATGCCACTCCTCTCTGATCTTCTTTTCCTGGAAATTTGACATCAAGTATTGGAATATGATCAGCCTGATATTCTTCAACAGCTTCCTTGCTATCCATTCTGATATAATTAGCCTGGAATTCAAGAAAATTTCTTGCACACCAATACCCAAGACAGCACTGGCAATGCACATTTTTGAAAGCAATCTTTAAGTAGTCTGATGTATTCCAGCATATATGGGTCAGTTTCATTAGGAATTTGGCCATTCATCGAGTACTGCTAGTATCCAAGGCTTCAACTTCACATCATAAACGTCGCGCTGCTCCATGGAAACCAAAATAAACTGGATAAACTATCAACATAATTGAGCTGAAATTGTCAGAAGAATTTGAGGCTCAAGTTGCTGTGTTTTTGTCTTGTGTTTTGTAGCCTGGGAAGTGAAAACAGTTACATGTTAAGTTATGGTTGGCTGGTTATGTAACTCTTGTCTGGATTCTGACAGATGCTAGTGGAGATTATGTAAAACCAAAAGAAAAAATGGCTGAACACTTCAAGAAGAATGAGTGGGGGGCTTTCTTTGTCATTTTGTTCAGTTGATGCATGCATGCAAGAAAACCTCATTGGAAGAATGAAGCTGTGACAACATTTTTTGATGTAATTATATTGAATGAGTAATCAAGTTCTTAAATCGGTCAATCATGAATATTTCAGTAATTCTAATACTTTTTACAATGACCTATATTAAATAATTTTATTGATTACTACTTTTCAATTGAAGTAAAAGTTTCTTCAAAATAGAAAAAAGGAAAAGCGCCATGGACCACTTTCAATGGCGGCTCCTCACGGGAGCTAGGGTCCTGCCCCCGAAAAATTTAAAATTTTTTAGATTATATTATTTTTCAATAATTTAAATTTTTTTACAAATAAATTAATTAGTCCATCAACCCTAAATTTATTGTGTTCATATATATATTTAACTTGAATTTACTTGTTATAAATGATTTTTAATCTAAAATAAATAAATTTGTTATCATTATATTTTTACAAATATATAAATTTAAGTTATATATATATATATATATATGAATATTATATTATTAAAACTGATTTGATAAATATTTATTTTCTTGTTTTTCAATCAAACTTTTTTTTATTATATCTTGTATGCTCTTTTTCTTTGAAAATGTTACATGTAATAAAATTAACATGATTAATTTAAATATATTTTTATTTTCATAATTTAAAAATATCATATATAAAATTAGAAAATTTTTAACTTATGGAACCAAAATCTCTACTCTATTGTTCTATCTATTTTTTATTTAAAAAATATTTTTATGATCTTTTTTACTTTAATACTTAATCATTTTATATTGCATATAAAACTTTTTTTATATTATTAATATATTTGATATATTTTGATAAAAAATAAAAAATTATTATCGTAAAATAATATTTCAATATCCTTAAAATTAAACGTCAAGATCTGTCATTGATCACTTTGAATATAAATCAAAGTGAAATACAAATATTTTTGAAAGAAAAAGAAGAATTCAAATTAAAATTCTTGACAAAATAATTTAAAGATTAACTAGTGATAATCACTAAGCAAACTATTTCATTGCCAAAGTTGTTTGGAGTTAGATTTAAAGTCTTGTCCAATTAAGACTAATTTATATCTATATTCATATTGCTCTTTTTTTGCATCATTTTACTTGTTCCATATTTAAAATACAAGGAAAATAAGACATAATTTCATTTTTTTTTAAAATGTAACTTTTATTTATATTTTAAAAGAGTTCGTTTTTTATATATTAATAGTAATTTTTTTTCTTAAATTTACAAACAATTAAAATATTATTAAATGTTTTAATTTTTTAATTTTTATTATACCTTAAGGTATATATGATTATCTATTAATCTTAAAAATAGAGTAAAAAAATTTTATTATTAATTAATGTGATAATTTTTCTTAAAATTTTTATTAATATTTTAAAAATGAATTCCAAAATATATAGAAGTAAATAGTAACTCCCCAAAGTTTTCCTTGTAAGTTATTTCTTTCCAATTTTTTGGGCAAAAGCAGCAATTAAGCAAAGGTAATTTTAAAACTCTAAGAAGAAAATGAAGTAAATCACAAGTAAGCTAAAAAAACATTTCAAAGCTCTTTTTCTTCCTTTTATCTTTCAAAAGCCTTCAAATTCCGTTAATTCAAAAATCCCAAACAAATTCCATTTTTAATTACCTCTTCTCTCAAAAACCCAGTAATTTGTTTTCCCAAAAAACCCGTTTTCCTTACTTTTTCAGCTTATTTCAGTCCGCGTCAAAATCTAAACTTTCATATAAAATTCCGGGTTCCAAAAGGTTACTCGGGTTGGACTCGAAGTGGGTTTTTGATTTTGAAGCTTGATTTTTAGTTTTTAAAAACAAAAAAAAGAGGGAAAAATGAGTGCTCAGAAGAAAAAAGCGTTTCAGATAGAGGCGTTTAAACATAGGGTGGTGGTTGATCCGAAATATGCAGAGAAGACGTGGAAGGTTCTGGAACATGCGATTCATGAAATTTATAATCATAATGCTAGTGGCCTTAGCTTTGAAGAGCTTTACAGGCTAGTTTTCCTTTCTTTTTTTTTTTTATTCGAATTTTTGATGTGATTTTGTTTTAATTATGTCTTTTTTGGTTAATTATACTGATTATAATGTGAAATTTAGCTGATTTTTTTTTTTTTGCGAAAATTTGGTGGTAATAATAGCTTTGAACAATTAAAATTTTAAAAGTAAATATTTGTAAATATAAAAAGGGCATCATTTTTTTTTTTTTTTTTACTTTTGCTCTTCATGAATATGTGTTTCATTTTAATTAGTTAGTCATATTTTTAAAATCAAATATCATTTTAAGTGTTAGCAACTTTTGAGGAAGAAGGTGGGTTGAGTAATCGACATATTAGGCTATGATGAGTTGCCAAGATAGTGAATTTGTTAAATTTTTTTGGTCTATTGTGTATTGAGAACTAAGGTCCTAGTGCTGTTTCTAATTGATTGGATTTGTGTGACAACTGAAATGCCAGCAACAATTAAATGGTTTGTGGCTACAAATTGGGGTGACAATGTGTAGGCGGTAGAGAAAGCAGTTTGCTTCTGATTTTGTACTTTGGGATTACCTTCTTAGAAAAAGAAATTTGAAAATGGTTTGGAAAGTTTTGCTGTTAATGGTATTGTGTGACTTATACGGCCAGATGCTGAAGGCTGATGACCGTAGCAAACTGACTTTGAGTTTGAGAGCTGAGTAAGTCATCAGATGTTACCGCTGGTTGTTTTCACAGGGCCACATTAATAGATAGCTCACTTCTTTATTTTCCCTCTCCCATCATCTTTGCAGCCACAGGGGTCTCTCTTGCTTTGCATTTTCTAGTATGCTACTTGGCCAGCTTTTGTAGTTTTTGAGCTCCTTTTGTTGGTAATCTACATGGTATAAGAGAGAGGCCGTGTAATAACTTGTGCCATTCTTTTTCTCATGTTGACAAATCTAATTTTTGGATCTTTGATTCATTGAAACTGTCATATATTATATTACTTTTAAAAACACATGTAAAAGGTTTTGATATAGGTGTAGTTTTTAGCTATATATTTGATACGCTTCATTGGTTTACTACATCTTCATGTACTTCGTATATTATAATATCATTTGTCTTATGTGATGATGTGGTTTAAAACTGTTGCAATTTGCTGCCCATTTCTGACTGCCTTGAAGCCTGCCATATTACTGTGTCT